TGGGGTGCTCTGGTCCCCTGGTCCCCGGGTCCCCGCGTCCCCGCGACGCTTTCCCGTGCGGCCCTGGCCATCCCCCCGCCGAGCGCGGCCGTGCTTCGGGCAGCTGCCCGCTGGGCCTCCTGGCCTTGCGCCCCGAGCGCTGCGTGCAGCCGGGCCTCAGTAGGCGCCCCCGAGGGGAGTCGGGCCCTGGATTTGGGGCCCTCCGGCCACGTTCCCTTTCCTCCAGGGTCGGGGAGAGCCTCTGGGTGGGGGGCGGGCTCGCTGGGCTGGGCTGGGCTGGGCTGTGGGCTTGCGGGAGGGAACCTGAACTTTCCCCCCTTCCTCCCAGCCCGTCCGTCACTTACGGCTGCCACAGCGTCCCGGGGGTGGGGGGTGTTCTGGGTGGACACCCCTCGAGTCTCACCCTCGCGGCTCAGGCGGCCTTTCGATGGGACTGCAAGTGAGGCCGTCGGCAGCCTTTGGAATGAACGGCCGTGTTTGCGTGCGAGCCGGGCATGGGTTTGGGGGGCGGGGCCGCGTGGGGTGTCGCGGACCGGATGTTTGTGTCCCCCCACACCCGACACTGATACCGCGGCCCCCAGGGGGGGTTTTGGGAGGTCCTGGCCCTCAGGACCAGACGAGTGTCATTGTGACAAGAGCCCCCGCAACGAGGACAGCAAGAAGGCGCGTCGGCTCCCCGGGACCCAACATCCGGCCCCCAACATCTGGCCCCCGACCTCGGGCCGCGCCGGCCGCGCCGGGAGCGGTGGGAAACGGCGGCTGTCCCTGCCCCGTCCGTGCCGCTCTGCGGGGGCAGCCGAGCTGAGACCTTCCTCTGTCCACGTCGCCTTCGGTTCCCGCTTCTAGACCTTTTCCTGTTTGGCCTCCATGGAATCAGTGAACGCTGAGGATACACGCCCCTCCCCTGGCATCTCAGCCCGTCCCGGCTCTTGCTCCTGGTCTGGGACGCCGGGGCGCTGGAGCCCGGTCCCACGCATGTGGTCCTGGCCGCGCGGCTCCCCAGGGCGGGGCCCGGGGCCCGGGGTCCTGTCCAGCCCAGCCCCGGTGGGAGAGGCGGCTTGAAGCACTTTGATTTGTGTTTAAGTGAATCTGTGAGGGAAGCCTCCGCATAGGAAGGAGTTGTGTTCAGTGTGAATTTATTTACAGCAAATTCCTAGGAAGTTGGAGGACATCGCTCCATGGAATCTGTGGCGTGTTGGTCAGTCCGTTCACGTGATTCGTGTGGTGACACCTTTCTCTGCAGTAAAAATTACCAGGGCGTTGAAGTGTTGCAAACGGCCCCTCCCCCTGAAAACGTCCAGTAGGATTGGCTTTCCTAACGGTGACCGACGACATCAGGTGGCGGGGGCACAGCCGGGGGCCCCGTGGGGGCCAGCCCCGCCCCGCACCCCACACCCAGGTCCCTGCCGGCAGCCCCCACGGCGGGGCAACCACGCACCTCGACCCCAGAAACGTGGCCCTGTCCTTGTTGCCGTTTTCGATCGAATGTTTGCCTAGAACGAGCTGGTGCTGCGCCTCGTCCTGGGCCGCCTGGCGAGAAAGGGGCGGCCGTGCCCCTGGGGCGCGGGACCCGGGGGGGTCGCTCCCCGGAGGAAGCTGGCCCCGCGTGGCAGGACCGCTCCGGTCATGGTGCTGGGCCCTGGCCCGGGCGCCGTGTCCCCGAGTGCAGCCGGGCCGGGCCCGTCACCAGCAGCGGCCCGTGCCCGGGGGACCCTGGCCGCCGTCCCAGCCCTGGGGGCAGCAGCACAGGCACGTGCGCCCCCAGGTCTGGGAGGCGCGCGGTTTGCCCGCAGCCTGTTGCTCTTAGCTTGGTTTTTTCACTGTATTTTCTTCGCCTGTCAGAGCTGTCACGACGCCAGGTTGCCATGGGAACGGCTGGTTAGAGTTCCCTGCAGCATCCTAATTATAGAGTGGCAGCCGCGCAGAGGGCTGCATCTGTGGGCCGCAGAGCGGGGGCTGCGAGGGGGGCCGGCACGCCCGCGGCCGGCGCAGCCACCAGGCCTCTGCTGCCGCCAGCCCTGCGCGCAGAGCACGGCTGGGGGACTGTGGGCACGCGCCTTCCGACAGCCCCACTCCAGGGTGACGCCCGGGCCCCGTTGGACCCAGTGGGGCCCCGCCGAGCCCCGGCCGAGGCCGAGCGGCTCTGCCCCACACCCCTGGCCCCGGGCGGCCCTCGCCGCCCCCTCGCTGGTCTTTGCCCTGTAGGCGGGCCGGCCCCTCGGAAGCGCTCCGTGCACTGTCCGGTCCCTCCTCTTCACTGCGGCTGTCACTGTGGGCCAGGAGCAGGGCCGGGGCTGTCCCAGCAGAAGCCCCGATGCTGGGACAGTGACGGCGGTTGAGCCGACAGCCCAGCAGGCTGGTGGCGCCGCCTGGGGGGACGCTTCCTGGGCGCCCTGGAGCTCGGGGTCAGGAGGCAGGTGCCCCGTGGGCTGTGTGCGCGGTGGCCCTGTGCTGGGGTCTCCTAGCAAAGAGTCTGCTGGGGGCAGGGGCCGGGGTCTGTGGGGACGCTGTACCGCCGCTGCCCCTCACCCCCGGGGTCCTGAGTCTGGGCCCCTGTGGATGCCTGAACCGCGGACGGTGCCGAGCCCCGCGGGCGCCGTGTGTCCCTGCACCCGCACTCCCGAGGCGGGGCGGGCTTTTACACGCCGGGCCCAGGAGGAGACGAACCCAACTAGGCATAAGCTGCCACAGTCAGCACCGTGGACGGTGACCAAGCGACGTGACTGGGGTCGCTGTGTCCAGGGTCCCCGCCGAGGTCCTTGCAGAGCCCCGGGGCCCTCCGGGGGACGCTGCTGGCCGGCGGACGCGTTTGCTGTTCTGCCCCCCACCCCCCACACCGAGCGCCCATTCTGCCCTCGCAAAGCGCTTGTCACCGCGGTGGGGGGCACTCCCGCAGCCTGAGGGGTGGCAGCAGGCAGGCGCGGGCTCCCTCCTCCGCCTGCCCCTCCCGGTCTCACGGCGGAGGACATGCTCTCCCCACCACCGGTCCCGGCCGCCCCGGCACAGGGTTTTCGTTCCTCGTCAGGCCGGGAACGCGCTCCCTTCGCTCCCAGGCAGCGCCGCACGGCTGCTCTTGGGCCCGTCCGAGCCGCGGGGCCGCCCCTCCCCGCCTGGGGCTGGACACGGGCGCTGCGATGCTGTGGCCGCACGTCGGACACCGGGGCCGCCAGCCTCCAGAGGCAAAATGCAGGAGGCCCTGAGCTCGGAGCTGCCCCCTCGGTTATTAACATCTGCATTTCCTTCTCAGAGGTGTAGTCGATCTGCCTCTCGCATTTAAGTCCTTGTTTTTGCGGGGACAGATCGGCATGAGGCGCGAGGCTGGCGGCTGGGCCAGCGTGGCCGACAGGACGTCCCGGACTCGGCGGTGGGGCACCAGGCCGCTCGGTCCTGGGGCCTGAAGCCCGCGTCCCACCGCGGCCCGTCCTTGTGACCTCCGCTGACCCTCCCTGTTCCTTCTGGGCCCGCCTCCAAATGCAGACCCGAGGGGGACGCAGACACTCCACCCTCGCCCGGGCCCCAGGCTTTGTCGCCGTGGACACCGGGGTCGCTGCCGTGCCCGGCGCCCGCTGTCCCGCCCCGGCTTGCGCAGCCTGCGCGGGCTCCCCAGCGCCCCTCGGCCTCCCCGGGACGGCTGTGGGCTTCTGTTCCAGGCAGCTTCCGTCGAGTTTGTGTGACATCGGTGGGTGTATGTTTAGCTTAGACTTCGGCGTGGCGCGTGTGCTGGTGCGTCCCCATCCGGCCAGCTCTGCTCCCCTGTCGGCGCTGGCTGTGCGTCCCCCTTCGGTCTCTGTCACTCCACACGTTCTCCCTCGCTCTGCAGGGACAGTCGCCCCTGTAGATGGTAGCAGGGACCTGCCATGGGCCAGGCTCCCCGCCGGGTGAGCCGGGGGGGCACCCTGCCGCCTGGACAGAAGCCCTGGGGGTCACCCGGGCTCCTTAGAGGTGATGGGCAGACAGGCCCAGGTGCTGCCGCTCCCAGGGGACTCAGCCTCCGTGGACCCCAGGCCGCGCCAGGTGGGAGGGGAGGCGCTGGCTCCGCCTCCAGCCTGTCCTCCCTGTGGGGGGGCAGGCCACGCAGCTCCTGCCCCGAGGAGCCCAGGCCCCGGTTTCTGACTCAGTGTCAGAAAAGGGGGAGAAGCAGGTTTCGTAAGTGCTGCGCCCTGAGGCCCGCAGGTTCCGGCCTGAGCCGGTCAGTTGCTTGTTTTAAAAACATTGCGTCGCGATTTCCACGTCCGTGTCTCCGAGCCCTTCCGCTCCTGAGCGTCGCCGTCGCTGCGGGGCTCCGTAAAAGCGCGAGGCTGCGCTGTGTCCTCGGACGCTGCGGTCGCACACACTCGTTTCAGAGGGTTTCGAAGGCGCGAAGTTCGAAGCGTCCGGAGACGGGAACGGGCGGCTCCGCGTCCGAGGGGGCGTCTGTCACCCTCCTCCCTGGGACTTCAAATGCCACACGCGTGCCCTGGAAGCGGCTTGGTGACAGGGATCAGCATAAGCGTTCGGTTCGCTGGCTCCGCTCCTGCCCCCCGAGTCGCCGGAAGGGGCCCCCCGGGGGCTCTCCTGCTGGGGAGGGGCTGGGATGGCCGCGGGGCGCTGTGGTCAGCCTGAGGGTGGCCCCCTGCGGCGGCCGCTGCCCCTCGGGGAACAGTGAGGCGTAGCTGTCAGCTGAGCTCACGGCTCACCTGCACCGTGTCGCTGGTTGCAGGGGTGCCTGGTGTCCGTGCCCGGAGGGCTGGGGGGCCCAGGACGAGCGGGAGGACACGCGGGCCTCGGATGGTCCCCAACCAGGCCCTTGGCAGGCGGGCAGCCGTCCCGGCTGCGGACTGGGGCTCCCCGTCCGTCCTCCCTGCCGGGGCTGCGACGTGAGGACGTGCGAGGAGAGGCCGGCGGGCAGCCGCGGGCCGTCCTCTGACGTCCTGCCCGCCCGGGACCCCGGCCCGCGCCGGGGGCGGCCCGCCCTGAAGGCCCCTCGTGTGTGGTTCTTCACGCTGTCTCGTTCGTTCCAGAATCCATCTACCGCCGCGGCGCCAGAAGATGGAGGAAGCTGTACCGCGCCAACGGCCACCTCTTCCAAGCCAAGCGCTTTAACAGGGTGAGTGCTACCCCCTTGGGACGCGGGCTCGTGGCTGTCGTAGCCGAGTGCTGTGTGCTGTGCCGTGTGTGCCGTCTGCCGAGTGCCGCGTGCTGTGCCGTGTGTGCCGTCTGCCGAGTGCGTGTGCCGCTTTAAAAACACAGAGAAAGGAGGCAACGGGAGCAGACTGGGCTCCGCTCCGCTCATGGGGGAGAGGCCGTGCTGCCTCCCGGTCACGAAGGCGCCTCGCAAGGTGGCCGGAGCCGTGCAAGCCCCGCTTGGGTCCCCTCGAGGCGGTGCTGCGTCATGAGCGCAGCCTGGGTCTCGGACCCTTGGCCGCGGTCGTGAGATCCTCGGTCGAGGCGCTGGGGTGCTGCCATCGGCGAGCTGGCACTCGGGCACCGTGCGGTGTCGGGCTGGACCGACTTTCTTACCTGAGCTCCGTGCCGGCCGCCGGACCCGGCGTGCCCTTTCTACTGATCTCCGGGGGTAATGTGAGATCTTTCAAAAGAAAGTTGTTGCAAATGGCCGAGGAAGCGGAAACACGTAAATGAGTTATGCCTGGAAAACACCCGGGTCGGGACCCGCGGGCCTGGGGCGCGGCACGTCCGGCGCCCGTGCTGCGGCTTCGACCCGGCGGCCAGGAGGCCCTCCCCTTGCATGGAGACGTCCAGCCGCGGGGCTGGTGACCAAGCTGGCTGTCCCCAGCGCTTTCAGGTTGCTCAGAACCATCAGGAGCAAAGATGGGCCATTCGAGTCTTTTTTCTTTTTTTAAGATTTTACTATTTTTAGAGAGGGGACGGGAGGGAGAAAGGGAGGGAGAGAAACATCGGTCGCCTCTCGCACGCTCCCCATTGGGGACCCGGCCCACAGCCCAGGCCTGTGCCCTGACCAGGAATTGAGCCAGTGACCCTGTGGTTCAGAGGCCAGCGCTCTGTCCGCAGAGCTGCACCAGCCGGGGCGACCACTTAAGCGTTCAAGATAATAGAACACACACCGAGACCGTTGCATGCCCGGCAGAGTCCGCCTCTGTTCTGTCGTGTGGGCAGGGCATGTGGGCGAGGGCCGGGGGCTTCCCCACACCGCCCCAGCCGGGCCCCTCCCCCCAGACAGGTCCCCGCGGCTGTTCCCACACAGCCTTGGGGTGGGCCTGAGTGTGGGCTGCCGAGCCCAGGCAGGACCTGGTGCCCCCTGTGACCAGGGTCCGGGCCACCTCTTGCCCCAGCTCCGTGTCGTCTTTTGAGAATGTCATTCACGGGGCATCTGAGCCAGCGCTTTGCGGGGCGCCAGGCCCCACCTAACGGCCGCCGCTGTCCTCCGCAGAGAGCGTACTGCGGCCAGTGCAGCGAGCGGATATGGGGCCTCGCACGGCAGGGCTACAGGTGCGTCCACTGCAAACTGCTGGTCCATAAACGCTGCCACGTCCTCGTCCCGCTGACCTGCAAGAGGCATATGGTGAGTGGGGCCTGCGGCTGGCCGGCCACACGCCCCAGTGGCCCTGGGCCTCTCACCCAGGGGGGCCCTGTCCCCGCGGACGAGACTGGGGGGCGCAGGTGGGCCATGCGCGACGGCCCCGGCCCGCAGGCTGGGACAGGACCCCCTCCCCCCGGGGGGCTGGTGCCCTTGCTGCCCTGGCCTGGGGCTCATCCAGAGTCCAGGTCTCACCCGATCCGGCCAGGGCGTCCCCCGCAGGCTGGCGCTGGGCTTCCTTTTGCTCACGGCTGCCGAGAATCATGAAGGCACACACACCCTGTGACCCCCGAGGTCCACGTTAGCCTCGGAAACGGGGCCCAGTTAGCCACGGGCTGAGGGGTACCCACGCTGCAGCCCGGGCACCGCTGGGGGGACGGCCTCCACTGTGACATCAGCTCCGGCGGGCAGGGCTCAGAATTCTGCCCGGCTGCCGACGGCAGGGGAGGGGCCGGGCGCTGTGTGGAGAGGCCCGTTCCGCAAAGCGCCTGCTGGAAGGGCCACCGCCTGCGGCGCTGAGTGGCGCCCACCTGTGGAGGCGCACGTCACTTCAGCGCAGCCAGGTGACCGTGGGTGCAGTGTGCGCTGGGACAGGTGCCACAACGTGGACGCTTCAACGGGAGACTTGCAGAGCCTCCCGGTGTCTCCCGGAGCTGAGCCCCCGCCCCCGCCCCCGCCGGTCCCTGGTGACGCCCCATCTCTCTGCAGGATTCTGTCATGCCTTCCCAAGAACCCGCAGTAGATGACAAGGACGACGACGTGGACCTTCCTTCCGAGGAGACCGATGGCAGTAAGGGCTGCTTCCCTCCGCCGGCCCTGGAGCGCCTGCTTCCGCCCCTCTGACCGCGAGGCCTTCCTGCGCCGGCCCCTCTCCCGGGCCCACGTCGCGTGGCCGCCGGAAGTGGGGCCGGGGACATGCTCGCCAGGGCACCCCTCGGCCCAAGTAGAGGCAGGCGGGGGCTTGTCCTTCCCTGGGGCCCACGTGTCCGTGAGTCGCTGCCGCGGGAGCAGGGCTGGGGCTCCCCGGGCCGCTGTGGGGCGCTCCAGGAGGCCCTCGGTGCGGCAGCCCCCACGCCGGCCCCATCCGAGACCAGCGGCTGCCCCGCGACCGCCGAGGGCGGAAAGGCTGCAGGGCGGCTGCTGTGCACACGGCGCGCCCTGGCCGGGTTCTCGGGGTTTCGTAGGGTTTTGGTTTTTTGTTGTTGTTTTCCTGTGGGAATAAGTTTTTTTTTTTAATGCTAAGAAGCACTTGTGGGGAAGGGTTCTGGACACCCTGTGGCTGACAGCCCAGCCCTGAACTCCCAGCCTGTGGATGGCACAGGGCGGACAGGAGCCCCGCCCCCACCTGGTCCACGGGGGTTCGGTCCCAGGAGGCCCCGAAGGACGAAATGAGGCCCATAGAGCTCCGAGCGCAGCACCTCACGCGGAGGAGACTCCTGACAGTTACCCGCCCACACACACCCATTACGAGTCCACCAACCACCACCCGCCCATCCGTCCACCCTCCCACCCTCCACTGCCCACCAACCACCATTCGCTCACCCGCCAGCCCCCCAGTCACCTCGCCTCATCCCCCATTGACTCAGCACCGCCCCCCATCCATCCGTCTGCCTGCTCTGAGAACAGAGACTGGAAGGGTAGACACCAAGTCTTACACAAACAGCGGCTTCTGGACCACGAACCCCTGGGAAAATGTGTCCCAAACGGTGGCCCAAACGCCGGCCGGGGTGGACGGGGCCGGAGAGCTGCTCTTCCTGAGCCCGGCTGGTCTGGCGGGGCCCCCGGCGCCGGTCCTCGTCCCGAGACCGGGGACCTGCTCCTGTCGGTGCCTGTGACTCTCCTTTCTCCTTTCTCTCTGTCAGTTCCTTACATCCCTTCCTCCCGGAAACGCGACGGCGTTAAAGATGATTCTGAGGTGAGTGTGCGGGTGGCTCGTGGAATTTCCGGGTCCCTTTCGGAAGTTCATGGCCCATCTCTGGGGCGCCTGTGGGATTGTCACATGGGCTGGAGTGTTGGGCCGTTGCCCACGGGAGGCGAGGGCACGGCTTCGTGGTGCCCGGGCGGTGCACGGGGTCAGGCGGGCGGAAGTCCGCGGGGCCTTTCTTGTGAGGTCTGGCCCAGACGTCGTCTCTGGCGCCTGGCGGGGGGAGGGTGGGCGGGGAGCAGAGAGTGAGTGTGGCCGCCTGTGAGCCCGTGAGCCCTGCTGAGCGTCATGCTGAGGCGCGGGGCGTGATCCCACGGCGGTGCGGATGGGCCGAGCTGCCGCTGGCCAGGGCGCCTGGGGCCTCTCTGACCTCGGGCCTCACTGCTGTGCCATTTGGACACGGTACCGCCTTTTCTGAGGATAAACACACCAAGCAGGGCTCGCGGGGGCGGGGGGCACAGGCCAGCACAGCGGGCCGCCGCAGCGGCACAGGTGACCCCGCCCGGAACCCGGCGCGGGGGCTTTGAGCAGCTGGGAGGCCGGGCCCCGGTGGCAGGGAGCACTCGCTGGCCTGTCTGTCATCTCGGGCGCGCCTGCGGGGTGGGCACTGTCCGTGGGCCCGGGGACGGGTGGCCTGGGGTGCTCACCGAATCCCCCGCGAAGCCGGCGCTCTCGGCCCCGGGGCCGCGTGCCCGGGCGTTCTGGGACCGTCCCTGCAGCCTGTCGCAGGCATTCCCCTTGCGGGGCCACGAGACCCCGGTGTCCACGGGCACCTCTCCACGGACGGGGGCCCCGTCTCTGCGCACGGGTGCGGGTGCAGTGGAGCCGGGCTGTCCGGGGCGCCCAGGCCTGGGTGCCGGCTGCCAGGCTGCCGCCGCATCCCGGCCCAGCCTCGCTCGGGGCCCACCCTCGCTCGGGGCCCACCCTCTGCTGTGGGCGCGGTGTCCCCGCACCCTGTCTCCCAAGGGCAGAGCGGGTCCAGGCTGGTTTTGAGCTGGACTCTCCGTCCGGCCGTTGATTCTGTCAGGCTTTGTGTCCCCCGTTTTCCTCCCCGCGCGCCGTCCAGCACCCGGCAGGGCCCCATTCTCGGCAGACGCTGGCGGGTGTCCCGCCGTCTCATCGCCGGCTCATCGCCGGCTCACCCGTCCCCTGGAGACAGCGCCAGGCCCCGCGGGAGGGGCTCCGTCCTGGGGCGGCCCCACTCCCGGGTCACCACGAGCCCAGCCTGCCCCCTGTGCCCTGGCCAGCGGGCTGCCCTCCCGGGGCGGCTCAGGGGCTCGGAGACGGCGCACTGGCCGGGTGACGGGCCTGGTAGGAAAGGGCCGGGTCAGGGGGGCCGGGGGCCGGGGAGGCGCGCCCTCCCCGGGTCGCCTCCCGGCCGTGCCCCGGGGGCTGTGGGGGGGCTTCTGTGCTCGGGCAGGATCTGCCCCAGAGGGAGCTTGCTCTGCAGCCCCTGCTGCTCCCTGGAGGTCGGGGGTGGGGCTGGAGCGCCAACTCCAAGCGTGTGGTTCGTCTCCCTGGCAACCGGCCCCCATCTTCGGTGATTCTGGGGCTTTTCAAAAGTCGCCTTATTAGCATAACAAAAGACACCTTCTGGCGCTTAGGAAATTCTGGGGGTTTCAGCGGCTCTGTCTGGCCCGGGAGAGGACTAAGTACAGGGTTCTCTTTGTCACGCGGTGGCCCAGGGTGGTCTCTCTGGGCAGCGGACCTTGCTGCCCCTTCCAGCCCTTCCCCAGCTCCAGCCGAGCGTTCAGGGCGACCTCCGTGTGCGGAAGCTCCGGGTGACACAGGCACACCCACACTGTGCCCGTGAGCAAGGACGCCAGTCACACAGCTGGTGTTCGCCCTCTGTCCCCGAGACCACAGGCGGCCGCCCCTCCGCGGCCACAGCTTTCCCCGGGCGCTCGACAGGTGCCCCTTCTTGCGTTTCTGCCCGGTGATGAAGTCTGCAGTGAGTCAGGGCCCCTCAGTCACCGCCCTCGCCCGCCCCCAGCGTCCTTGCCAGAAATAATTCGCAGGGAGGAAGCGAGTTCCGTTCTGAGTCCGGTTGCCCTCGCGTCTGTCCAGCGATGCGCGCTCTGTCCGCCGGGAGCTAGTGCTGGCCGGGGCGCGGGAGCCTGAGTCGCCTCTTCAGCCGTGGGCGTGAGGCTGTCCCGGCCTCCGGGTCCCTCACAGCGGCCACGGGCTGTGGGGATAGATAGCTTTCGGGTTTCCAGCTCCTTCCGCCGAAAGCGGCACAGCCCTGCCCTGGCCGCCGCGGCTCAGCGGGTCGGGCATCGTCCTGCAGGCCGACAGGGCACCAGGCCGATTCCCGTGAGGGCGCGGCCGGGCCGTGGGCCGGCGCCCGCTGGGGGCGCAGAGAGGGCGACGGGGTGCCGTTGCTCTTACGTCGACGTTTCCCCCCTTCCCCCCTCCCTTCCCCCTTCCTAAAAACAAATAAAATCTTTTTTTAAAAAAAAGCTGCGCGGTCCTTCCTTCTGGGCTTGACTTCCTGGGGTGGGGGGCGCACCTTTAGGACGCGGAGCCCCAACCTGCCAGCGGATGGGGCCCGCGGTCCGGGGCGTGCGGGGTCTTCGCCGAGGCTGGCGGCGGCGCCTGGCGCGTCTCGTCTCTGAGTCCGGACGTTCCCCGCTCCCCTCTGTGTCCCCCCCGCCCAGGACCTCAAGCCAGTCATCGACGGGATGGACGGAATCAAAATTTCTCAGGGGCTGGGGCTGCAGGACTTCGACCTCATCAGGGTCATTGGGCGTGGGAGCTACGCCAAGGTCCTCTTGGTGCGGCTCAAGAAGAATGACCAGATCTACGCCATGAAGGTGGTGAAGAAGGAGCTGGTGCACGACGACGAGGTGGGCCGCGGGGCGGGGCAGGGCGGGGCCGCGGGGCGGGGCCGCGGGGCGGGGCCGGGTGGGGCGGGGCGGGGCCGGCGGGGGCGGGGCCGCGGGGGTGGGGCAGGGGCGGGGCCGAGCGTCAGGGCGGGGCCGCGGGTGGGGCAGGGGCGGGGCCGCAGGCAGGGCGGGGCGGGAGCCCCGGGGCTCCCCCCTGGCCCCCTCCTGGCCCCCTCCCCCCCGCGGCCTCCATTCCGGCTTCCCCGGGGTTTCCTGCTGTCCCTTGAGGCCAAACACACAGAACGTGCCGCTGTCACCGCTCTGAGGCGCACACGGCAGTGGCATTGTGCACATTTCCTGCGTGGGGCTGCTGTCAGGCATGTCCGCCCCCAGAAGGAGCCCCCGTCCCTGTTAGTGTCCCTCCCCGCCCTCCCCCGCCCTCCCCCGCCCCGGCGGCCCCGGCGGCCCCGGCGGCCCCTGATCTGCTCTCTGTCCCGGAGGATCTGCCTGTTCCGGACGCACCCCCGCCCCACGCGTACACACCCCCGCCCCACGCGTACACACCCACCCACACCCACAGTCACACAGTCACACAGTCACACAGTCGCCCACGGCGGGGCCTTGTGTGGCCGGGCCTTTGCGGAGCATCGTGTCCACAGCTCCCCTGCGGGGCAGCCGGTGTCCGGCCGCAGCCCGGCTCGGGGCCAGGCCTCCCTCTAGCTCGCGCGGCCCTTGGGGGTGGGCTTTCGGGCGGGTTCCGCCGTTCGGCCGAGCACCGTGAGCAGAGCCGCTGCGGACGTACGTGTGATGGCATCTGAGTCCCTCCTTCAGTCCTGGGGCGTCTTTTCGGGCAGGGGCGCCCCACGGGGTCGGCAGGCAGCTCCACGGCGAACGCTCCGGGAGCCGCCCGCCTGCCCGCCCGCCCGCCTTCCGCGGCAGCCGCCCCCTCTGCGTCCCCGCTGGCCGCCGGCCGGGCCCCAGGTCCCCGTGCGGAGTGGGGGCCGCCCGGAGGGAGGGGCGGGGCCGGGGGCGCTCGTGGGCTCGCCCACGTCCTCGGGTTCCTCGGGGCTCAAGCAGGGGCGAGGCCAGCCGCCCAGGGCTGTGTGCGAGTGCCCAGAGGCCCCCACGCCGCTGGTGACGGTGAGGGAGGGTGACGGTGACGATGCTAGTGGCGGCGGTGGCGACAGTCACGTGACCGTGGAGCCGATGAGGAGGGCGGGCGGCGGCGGCGGGGAGGCGTCCGCCCGCCGACCTTCCTGCCCCGGAGGTGAGGGCCGCTCGGGAGCCTCGGTGACGCGCCGGGTTCCGTTGCAGGACATCGACTGGGTGCAGACGGAGAAGCACGTGTTCGAGCAGGCGTCCAGCAACCCCTTCCTGGTCGGCCTGCACTCCTGCTTCCAGACGACCAGCAGGTGAGGGGCGGGGCCCCGGGGGCCGCGCGGCGTCTCCAGCTGCGTGGAGGCCGGTGGGCGTGCACCACAGGCCCCCGAGTGGCAGGTGTGGGGGGCTTTGGTTCGCCCCGCCAGCTCTGCGCTGCTCACTGGTTGGCGCCACGTGAGGTGAATTTCATGCCTCCAAACCCGAATTACGTAATTCCATGTACAAAGTATTTATGGAAAGCGTCGTAGGACTGCGGGCATCAGGCCGGGTCCGGGGGCGACCCCGTGAGCGGTCAGCGGCCTGGGCTGGAGGGTGAACGCGGACGGCTTCCCCTACAGGCTTCCCTCAGGGCGGAACTCGGCTGCTTGGAGAAGGCTCGGAAGCCACTGGTCCAGGGTATTTAACATTTAACACACACTGTGTTTAGGATTTTGGGCCAGTGGGGTTGAATCAGCCAGTCTGTCTGTTTGAAAAGCTGGCGGCCGTGTTTGGGGGCGGGGCCCCCGAGGGTTCACGGGATGCACAGGGCTCGGCCGTCGCTGGGCTCGGGGCTGAGGTTCTTCTGGGCAGTTCTGGCTCTGCGCAGGACCCTGCCTGCTGAGGGCCGGCCAGGGGAGCGGGCCTTTTGCGGCCTGGGCGCCCGGCCGTGCGTCACACCAGCAGCTCACACACCCCTCGCCCCCGCCCCCAGCTCACCCTGTCCTGCCGCCTGCTCCCCGCCCAGTTCCGGCTGGCCGCCACCCGCGTGTCCGAAGCGCCTGGCGTGCTCTGCCCCCTCCCTGGGTCTCGTGCTCAACCTCCCGAGTGTCTCAGGTCCCCCTGCCCCCCTGCCCCCCTGCCCCCCTGCCCCCCTGCCCCCCTGCCTGAACCCTGCCCGGCCCCTGGTCCGCCAGCCACCACATGTCGGCACTGAGACAGGCTCTGAGAACGCAGGTCCAAGGGTCTGCCCCCGGCTCCACAGAGCTTCCAGCTACTCTTGCCATTGCGTCCGGGATTGGCCCGGACTCCGCCCCCGGTCCCAGCGCCGTCTGACCGGCTGCGCTGCCTGGCGGGATGGCCCTGTCCTCTGCTCGCCCCGTCTCCGCTCCGGAGCTCGCTGGGAAGGCACAGTCTTCCTGCGCCCCCTCGGCACGCTGTCTCAGGCCTCGGTTCCGCCCTGACCGCCATCCCCAGGACGCCGGATCCTCCCGGGGAGCACAGGCCGCCCCGCCCCGCACCCCCTCACGGGGCCCCCGGAAGGCACATGCTCTGGTTTGTGCTGGGTTTTAGGGAGGTAAGGGAGCAGGTGGTTCACGCTCGCAGCCCTCGCCCGAGCAGACACCTCTGGCTCCCACGGTCCCAGGCGCCAGGAGTCACGCTCCGAAAACCTCGTCCATGAGCCGTCGCTGTGGGGCCCCTGCTTCCTGCACCGTTTTCTCACGCTGATGCCTGGGGACTCATTTCCAGCCTTCAGCAGCCGCCGTGGGCCCCGCCCAGGAATAGCACGCGTGCGCCTGTGGTTTCTCGGGCAGCGACCTCCTGGCGGCCGCCAGCCGTCGGCGAGCCAGGACAGGGTGTGTCTCTGGCCGTCCTGGTCTCTGTGCCGCGCGGGCGCGAGCCCCTCCCCGGCTGGTGTCCTGGTGACAGCCGGTGACAGCGTGTGGGCCGGCCTGGCGTCCGCGGGTGACTCGCTTACGGTGCAGCCTCGTGTCCTGCGTACGAGTGCGACGTGAGTGCCCGCCGGGTTTCGCTGACTTGCTAGTTAATGGGCTAGTAAAGACGTTACCACCCACTCGGAGCGGAGTTCAAAACCTATGAGCCCCTGCGGCTCCCGGCAGAAATCTGTCCACCGGCAGCGCAGCTCCCGCCAGCCCGGCGGCTGCACGGGGTCTCTGGAAGGGGAGAACTAGGCCCTTCCTTTCCCCCAATCCAGGGGTGCCCTTCCCGAGCACTGTGTCCCCTGCCCAGGGTGACGTGGAGTCCCAGGGTGTCGGTCGGCCCTGGTGTCACCCCACGTGTGCAGAAAGCAGGACCCACCGGTGTGTTGATTTAATGCCAACTAAACACCGGTGTGACAGGAAACCCCCGCCCGCACACCCCTGCGCTTCCGGCCGCTCCCGGGAACGACACAGGCGTGTGGCGGGAATCGCTGTTCTCAGCCCCTACCCGACCCTGCACCCGACGGCTCTGCGGGGCCACGTGAGTCACGTCGGCATCATCGCAGATCGGCGGTGACAGGCCCCCCGAGGCACGGTGAGGCGGCGCTAAGCGGCGCTGCCGGCCGCCGTCGCTCCGGACGAGGGGCGCGTTCCCGCGTGGCGGGTGCCCGTGGCAGAGCCCCGTGGCCCGTGCCCATGGGGGCGCGACGGCGCCGCAGAGGCGACAGCAATGGCCCCGGCGGGGAGGGGGGCACGACTGAGGAGGAGGGAAGCAGGCGAGCCCGCTGAGTGCGCGGCGGGACCCTCTGCAAACCCTGGTGACAGGAGGGGCTGCTGTCGGGACAGGTCACGGCTGCGGGGCGGCGACCGGGCGAAGGGGCCGTGAACCCGGCCACCGTCACCCAGGACCCTGACAGGCGGGTGCCGCCCTCCTTGGGAACACACGTCACCGCATCTCCCGAAGGCAGGGAGTCTGTGACAGTCACCGCCGAAAGCCCAGGGAGAGCGGGCGTTGAGTGACACACGGCAGCGCGGGCGTGGCTCAGCCTTTGTTCCCCTGAGACACAGTGACAGCTCACAGGCCCTGAGTTCACTTGCTCTTCCCCCAGGTCGCCCAGAATGGGTAAAACGCGGCCCTAGCCCCCCGGGTTCAGCGCAGGGCCCCGAGGCGGGCACCCACTTGTCCGCGAGGATGTCACAGAGACACGGTCCTTCCCTGGGGGCCGTGGCAGCTGGGCCAGGGCGCTGGAGAGGTTTCAGGGGTGGTTTTCTTTCTGCATCGAGGCAGTAGACTGGCGGCCGTGGGAATCATGAAGCCCTGGCCAGCGAGGGACCCTGGGGACGCGGCCCCGGTTCCCAGAGCCTGGGGGCTGCGCCCTCCTGCTGTTGGGGACCACACGCAACACGAGGGGACGCGGTCTGTTGTTGCTCCCTGGGCCGGGGTGGCTGCCTGCTGGGCCAGGCCGGGTCGGGGGCATGCTGTTGGGGACGGAAGGGCCACCCAAGGACGTGGCGACCTGGGCCGACCAGTAGACACGAGGCCGTGGTGCCGCGCGGACGCCCCGCCCAGGACAGGGCCTTGCTGGGGCAGGCGTCCGGGCTCCTCCGTCAGGCCCAGACCGGAAGCTGTGCTTTTCCCAACTGTTGAATGATATCAGGGGGAAGAAAAAAATTGAAAATAAGTACCATCAGCGACCATGTAAAATAACAGCTTCCTTTTGAAATGACGCACGTCGCGCAGCAAAGTGCACAGGAGGGCGTGGCCGTGGTGCGCGCCCCCGCCGCCCCCCCGCGCCCCCCACCCCCGCCACACAACGGCACCCACCCGCCTGCCCATTGCTCCGGAGCTTCGTGGTTTTCTCTTTTGATCCAGTTTTAACTGCTTATTTTCCTGTACAGACTTCGGAATCAAACTGCCTCACTCCAGAAAGAGAAAGAAACTGGGTTTTCTTCGGAACGTAGCGTTTAGAGTTCTCAGGCGAAGGCGGATGCTCCCGTGACATCAGGCGCACCCCCCACCCTCTCCCCCAGCGCCGGCCGCTTCCCCCCGCCCAGCCCTGCCGCCGCCGGGCGCCCCCTTTGGGGGAGCCGGTCGCTGCCCCGCAGTGTTTTCGCCTCTGTGCCTAATGCCCGCCCCGAGCGCCGGCCCCTCGCGTTCCTGTGGTTGGCGAGCTCTCTGCTCCCATCACAGCCAGTGACACGCTGCTGCCCGTTTGTGCCCGTCGCTCGGGCGTCCTCTCTGCGGTAATTTTCGGGGAGATTTCTCGGGTTTCCGGGTGTGCACAGCTGACGTCTCATCCCGTCGCCCCTCCTCCCAGGGGGCCCGGGGTCGCTGGTGTCCCTGTCCAGGGACGTGGCCTCGCCTGGGGCGACAGTGTGCGTGGCGGGCAGAGCGGTTCCCGCGGGAACCTTCCAGCGCGTGCGCCGCGAGCGTCACGCCGGCCGCTGGGCCTCGGCAGAGCTGGGCCGGACGCCCGCCTGTTTCAGACAGACAGAGGCGGACGGGGCGTGGCCGGCTCCGGCGTTTGCTGCCGCAGGGGCTGCAGGGCCGTTGGGAGAGCAAGGGGCGCAGAGACCAGGGCCTCCGCCTGCGGCCGTCGCACGGCGTCTGTCCAGCAGAGAGGGGCCTGTGCCCGGCTGCAGGCCAGGGCGGCGCCAGCCCCTCCTGGTGCGGGGACCCGCGCGTCCCCCAGGGCCCCCCAGGGCCTGAGAGATGCCGCCTGGAGGCTGCCGCCCCCCGCTGGGCGGAGGCACAGGCCGGCCGGGCGTGGGCCGTGAGGGCCGAGGGCGGTCGCTTGTCTTACAGCAGGGGCCGCGCGCTGTCTCACCGGTCGTCCTGGGAGGGAGGTGGCTGTCCGGAGCCCTCCTGCCGCGGAGCTGCCCTCGGCCGCTGGGGGGCGGGGGCACGGGGGCACGCGGGTCTGAGTGCGGCGTTTCTGTCTGGGCGCCCGCGTCCGGTCAGGGTCTCTTCGTGGATACCGATGTTTGATCCACCTGTGGTGTCCCTTTCTTGTGCGATCTTTTTTTTAAGTAGTTTTCTTACTGCGTATTTTCCTATTACCTTTCACCGCCCCCCGCCCCCCGTATATTCTCCTCCACCTCCACCCGACATATGCCGTCTTTACTGGAATCTTAAACCTCCCTCATCTTAGTCTCTGGAACTTTCTCAATCGCGTTGGCAGGTGCCCTGGAGGCTGCGGGGCTGGGGTGTTGGAGGCGCCCTCTGCCCCCCAGTTTCTGTGAAGGTCGTTGTCGGAGGCTGGTCTGCGCTGCCCGCCCGGTCCAAGTTTCGGGGCAGCCGAAGCTGCTCCTGGCCCCGCCGGTCGGCCCCCCGCCTCTGCGACGCCTTCCCGGGGCTCCCGCTCGCCGAGCCAGGACTCGGGCCGTGACCGCGGCTGTGCCGTTGCTTGTCCCGCTTCTGATTCGTGCCCTCACGCCGACGAGGCCCCTTCCTGGCCATCCTCACCCTCGTCCTGCGTCTGGGAGCCTGGGAGCTTGTCTTGCTGTCCTACCCCTTGAGCGTCTCTCCGAGGTCGACCCGTCTCGTCCGCTGCCCGCCATCCCTGGGCAGCATCGGGGGCGGCCACCCGTGGGGTGGGGACACGAGTGGACGTGGGATCCACGTGGGTGTGACGTTGGCTCTTCCTGGCTGGAAACCGCGTGGCCCGGGGGAGTTACCGGACCCCCCCCCACCCTCTGCCGCAGGGCCCCTCCCAACCCGCCCTCCCGTCCACGCCTCCCCCGCCTGGGCTGTGGGGCGGGCACTGCGGTGTGGGGTTTTCCCAGAGCCAGTCGTTCGTTTTCCCCGGAAGTGGCCTCGCCCGTGTAGACGCCAGCCCCGCGGGTGCTCCGTGTTGGGGCGAGGCCTCCCTCAGGGGCCGGGCTGAGGGGAGCGGCTCCGCAGGGACAGGCCCCGTGGCGACCAAAAGACGTCCGTCACCCAAGAGTTTGAAGTCACCCAAGAGTTTGGGCGTATGCTTTTTTGAAAAAAACTGGACTTTTAGGTCTTGGGTCCTTCCCCAGGGTAACAGGTTTAAACACAATTGTGCTTAGAACAGCGTGCGATGCCAAGGCCACATGGCTGCTGACTGTCCTTGCGGCCCCTCCCGGGGACGGGCGCTCCTGTGGGCGGCCAGGCGTGCGCGTTCAGCCTCTCGCTTGCGGCGTGAAGGCGGCCGGGCCACGGGGACGTGTGCCGACAGGCCCGTGGCCAGGTCGCGGCCACCGGAGCCTCGCCCTGCGTGTCCTCTGGAGGCGGGGCCAGAGCGAGGCCCAAAGCGGCCGAGACTCGGGGAACGGACCGAGAGCCTGGGGGCGCCCGCGCACCGGGGCCGTCCCTCCCCGACTCCCCCGGCACAGCCGGCGACCTACAAACCTGAGAGCTGCCCCCAGCGGGGCATTTCTGGAAAATTGTGTGTGAATTTAATTTTGAAAATGGAATCTGATTAAATGCGAGAAAGCTCATCTGGAAAGAAGCCACGTGCTGAATTGCCTGGGGACGCACAGGGCCCTGGGCGCATCTGGTGACATCGACAGGCCACGGTTCTTTACGTCCCGGGGCACGGCAGCCCCTCGCCGCTGCCCAGCCTCTCTGTGGCCGGGTCAGCGCTGGCCCCTGGGCCCACGCCCCGCGCCCCGCGGCCCAGCTCCATCCTGCACGCCCCGCGCCAGGCGAAAGGGTGCCTGCCCCCTTCGCTCCTCCGCCCGCTCCCGTCCCTGGGGTCCCTCCAGACTCAGCGGCGGAGGGGGGGTTCTCGGGGCCTCCTCACCCCATCACCCCATCGCCTGGCCTGTGCGCCTCGAGTGTCCTCACGTGCGGAGCCGGTGCCTGTCGCCATCTGGGCCTCTGGGCCTCGTGCGGCTGCCGCGGCCTGGCCTTCCCGGCGCTGAGGAGGCAGAGCGCGTGCAGAGCAGACCCTGCCGGACGGCGTGAGTGGGTGGGGGAGGCTCGGGGCCCCGGGGTCCACGTCGGGGTCCGGATGGGGCAGTGGCAGCCTCACGCGTCCCCGGGGTGGGGCCTCGGTGGCCGGCGCAGGGCTCTGCCCCCTCCGGGTCTGCTCAGACCCGTGGCTTGCCCTGCTGAGCTGGGCGCGGGTCAGGGCGCCCGGGTCACCTCTTTGGCCACGCAGGGGGGTTGGCATGGCAGTGAAAGACAGGCCACCAGCCGGGAACCGGCTGTCACCAGCGGCGGGGCTCCCAGGCGGGCCCGGGCAGGGCTCCTTCCTGTGGGCAGGTCCCGGCCCCCATCGCGCCCTCTCTCCCGCCAGGTTGTTCCTGGTCATAGAGTACGTCAATGGCGGGGACCTCATGTTCCACATGCAGAGACAGCGGAAGCTTCCAGAGGAGCACGCCAGGTGGGCGTGGGCACGGGCGGGGGTCGGCGGGGAGGGCGCGGGGCGGGGCCTGGGGGGGTCCGCAGGGAGCCGCGCTCAGGGGGTGAGGCTCGGGCAGACGGGCACCCTGCTGCCTCCTGCGAGCGGCGCGTTCCAGCGCCGCTCGGGGTCGTGAACCTGGGAGGCCCCGTGAGCGAGCTCTGGCCTCGCCGGGAGAGCCGGCGTCTCGTGGAATGGCGCTGCGGCGGCTCTGCTGCTGCTCTTCCACACGTGGGGGACAGGCTCTCGCTGAAAGGTGGGGGAGGAAAGGAGCTCCGAGCGCCGGTGCCTCGGGCGTGGGCGTGCGCGCCTGGCTCTTTCCTGTTTTCCACCATTTTCACTTCCCTCGTTTCCCCACTAAAAAAACTTCTGTGCAGTTTTCAGTCGCCTGAGGTCCTTTTGGGAAAAGGCAGTTATTCAATCACTCCCTTTTCCTTTTTCTAATTGTGAAACGCACGGCGTGTAAAATTCGCCACGTTGGCCACTGTGAAGGGCACAGCGCGGGGTCAGGCACAGCCACGCTGTCAGGCAGCCGCCACCGCCATCCTCTCCAGAACTTTCCACCTTCCTGATCGGGACCTCTGTCCCGATCAAACACTCCCCCCGCCCCTCCCCCAGCCCCCCCACCGCCGTCTGCTCTCCGACCCCGCGGGTCTGATCCCTCCGGGGACCTCCTGTGAGTGGAGCGGCACGGTCCCTGTCCTCCTGTGACTGGCTCATGTCACTCAGCAGGATGTTCTCTGCGCGGCACAGCTCCCTTCCTTTTTTAGGGCTGCGTAACGCTCCCCTGTGTGGACGGACCCCGCGTGTGTCCGTCCTCCACGGACACGGGGCCGCTGCGCACGCGGGGGCCAGCGTCTGTTCAAGCCCTGGCTCTCGAGTCCTCGAGTGCGCGCCCAGCCGGGGGCTGCGGGGTCGTGGGGTAGTTCTGCTGTGTTTTGAGGAAGTGCCACGTTGTCTTCCACGGCAGCTGCGCCAGTTTACATTCCCACCAACGGCGTCCAGGATCCCAGTGTCTCTGTGTCCTCATCACACTTGTGGTTTGGGTCTGGGGGGTGTGCGTGAGTGACCATGGCCGGTCTCTCACCGTGGCTTGGATCGGCGTTTCCCCGACAACCAGGATGCTGCGAGTCTCCCCGGGTCCCGCGGGCCGCGCGCTCCCGCCGGTGGGCGGCACGGCCGTGTGGCGGGGAGCCGGCCAGCGGCCCCCAAGCCGGGCCCCTGCTGGGCACGCTGACGCGGGGTCGCCCTCCAGGTTCTACGCCGCTGAGATCTGCGTCGCGCTCAACTTCCTGCACGAGAGGGGGATCATCTACCGGGACCTGAAGCTGGACAACGTCCTCCTCGACGCCGATGGCCACATCAAGCTGACGGACTACGGCATGTGCAAGGCGAGCGGCCCCCACCCAGTCCCCCGCCGCCCGGGCCCGCCCGCCGCCCTGAGGCGCCCGGCCGCAGCAGGGCTGTGCTCACGCCCGGTAACCGGCTCTGTCCCCACAGGAAGGCCTGGGCCCCGGTGACACCACGAGCACTTTCTGCGGGACCCCGAATTACATCGCCCCGGAAATCCTGCGTGGGGAGGAGTATGGTGAGCGCGGCGCGCGCAGCGGCAGGCGGGGCCGGCCCCGGGGCCGCTGGGGTCACGGGGCAGAGCAGGCGGGGGCGGGACTCCCTGGCCGGGCCACGCCGGAGCCACCTTCCTCAGGCTGTGCAGCCCCCGCTGTCCCCGCTGTCCCCGCTCGAGAACGTGGGACGGGGCCCCTCCTGTCAAGGCGGCCTCGGGGCTGGGAAGGAGCGCCTGGGGCAGAGGCCGACTCGCGTCCTGAGGGGGCAGTGCCGCCCTGCGGGCCGGCTGCGCGCGCCCCTCCGCCCTCGCCCCTCCGCCCTCGCCCCTCCGCCCTCGCCCCTCCGCCCTCGCATGGGCCTGCGTGTGCTGGCGTCGCAGTGAAACGCGGCGTCAGGGGCTTCTAAGCATTTCCTTTCATTAAAGCGAGGGGTAGGCAGGGTGGGCAGGACCTTCCCCATGAGATACTCAGGGCACCGGGGGCCAGCGGAGGGCAGACCACAGTCACGGGACCACAGGGAGCGAGGGGACGTCGGGGACAGCGGGCCGTCCGCGGGCAGGACCCCCATTCGCTGAGACGCATCCCCGACAGACCAGCCGTGTTGAACGTGAAGCCAAAACAATGAATGTAGGAAAAAGTGTAGGAGAACGTCTGAGAGGAAGGGAGTCCTCGAGCCAGAAGCGAGGGAGGACAGTTGTCCCACAGACGGGCTCGGCCTTACCTGTCTGTGTGGCCTCAGGTGCCACACGCAGAAGTAAAGGGCCCAGTGACAACCGGTAACCAGTGCAGAGCTGGCTCGAAGGTTCGTGTCCTCGATGCGCAACAGCCTTGAAGGCGTCAGGCGAGACCTTCGCCCGCCCCCGGGACAGCGGGCAGAGGGAGGCCAGTGCAGGGGAGGGTGGGACGCGTCGCACACCCAGCGACGGGCCGGACGTCAGCCCCGGGGTGACGTGCCTGCACCCCCCAGGGTTCAGCGTGGACTGGTGGGCGCTGGGCGTCCTCATGTTTGAGATGATGGCCGGGCGCTCCCCCTTCGACATCATCACCGACAACCCCGACATGAACACCGAGGACTACCTGTTCCAAGGTGACGGTGTGGCTGGGAGGGTCTCGGGCCGGTCCCTGCCCCTGGGGCCACTCGTGCCCTGCAGACTGGGTCGGGCCAGCCGTGGGCCGGGGACACCGCTCTTTCCTGTCCCCGGGAAGAACCCGCCCTGATTCAGCACAGACTCCCCGCTGCCCCGGCCAGGTGCGCCCTGGAGGGCTGGCAGGGCGGGCGGCTCCGTGAGGGCGTGGCCATTGGGGAGCCCCGCCCAGGCCTCCAGGACCTCGGGTGTCCTGGCGGCGCCCTCTGGCGGCCACGTGCAGCGGTGCCATGTGCGCGGGTGCTGGTGGTCCCCATGGGACCCCGGGCTGCCGCTCTGCCTGGGCCCTGCGGCCCCCTCACCACTGGGCACCGCGGCCCCCTCACCACTGGGCACTGCAGCCCCGGGGCGCAGGAAGGAGGCGGTGTCTGACGGCCCCCACCGTTGCAGTGATCCTGGAGAAGCCCATCCGCATCCCCCGCTTCCTCTCGGTCAAAGCCTCCCACGTCTTGAAAGGATTTTTGAACAAGGTATGGTCGCAGCTGCCGGTCCCGTCTGTGGGTGGCGCCCTGGGCTGCGGCTCCGTGAGGGGCTGAGGCTGGACCGCCGCCCGCAGCCGTTTCCCAGGGCCCCCCCGGAACCCTTGGGTGCGGTGGGAAGCTCCTTCCCGGTCCAGCTTGCCCCGTGAGTCGTCACTTCTTACACTCGACAAAACAGTGACGAGAAGGGACACCAAAGAGGGACACGAAGCGGGAGTGGGAGGCGCGAGGGCGGGTCCGACCCCGGCACCGGGCTCCCTGGGGCCAGCGCAGGCTGAGGAGGGGCCTCTCTGCACCAGCCGACGTGTCCTTATTTCAACTCCGGCCCCCAGGACCCCAAAGAGAGGCTTGGCTGCCGGCCACAGACGGGATTTTCCGACATCAAGAGCCACGCGTTCTTCCGCAGCATAGACTGGGACCTGGTAACCCTCCCTGCACCCGAGCCCCTCCCCGACGGCGACCGCGGGGTGCGAGGGGGGTGGGGGGTGCTGCCCCGGTCGGAGGTGTGGAAGCTCGCACGGGACCGAACAGGGGGACGGGACCAGCTCAGTCCCTGGGGATGGCACTTCTTGGTGACCCTGAGATCACTGGGTCCCGTGGGGAGCCCCGCCCTGCACCCCCAGTCATGATTCTGTGTGGAATCGCCCAGGGAAGGGCGGTTCCTTTGGTTTCCTGTTGACTGGTTTTCCAAAACCTGGCATTCTCCCGGTCGAGGCGAGGTGTGCGGGCCAGTTCAGTTTAGTGCTGTGCTTCCTGGTCCAAAAGGAGAACGGAACACAATTTGTTTGAAAACGTATATACAGTCGCAGGGTCAGTGAAACAAAACCTTTAAAACGTGCTGTTTTGGAGAAAAGATTATCTAGCTAATCAAGTAGACGTGGAGCTTGGGTTTGAGCCGGCAGCGGGGAAAGCCGGCCCCCTGCCCCCGTCGCTGCGGCTCCCCGTGCCCAGGACTGTCATCTGCGTGGTGGGGCCGGGGTTCCTGGGACCCTGGCTCGGCAAGGGAAGTGTGGGGACAGGCGCCGCCCACTCCCGGTGGCCGTCAGGCCTGGCTGGGCGGCTTCGTGGCAGAACTCGCGGCCCCACAGCTGGGGGTGACTCTGGCGGCGCTCAGAGCACCGGCACGTGGTAAGAAGCTGACTTGGAACGTCCACGTAACTGTCCCGTGAGCGCAAGGCAGGGAGACAGGACCTGGCTGGTTCCTGGCCCTGCCCGTGCGGCTCGGGCACAGCACCGGCCCGTCCTCAGCCTGGCGCCCGCGCTGGCCTGTGACCGCGGCCCTGCCGGGTGAGGCCCCGCTGCGCGCAGCGCCGGCCGGGCCGCGCGTCCGGGGAGAGCCAGGGAGGGCCCCAGCGGCCCGCCGCGCCGTGTCCTCCGGAGGTGGCACCCGGTCACGCCTGGCCACTGGGTCCTTGCTGACAGGCTGTCCCCTGTCACCCCACCACACGGGGGGTGTGGGCCGTGCCCCTCGTCCCCGTCTAAGTGCTTTTGCGGGCGCGGGCGGCAGCCTGGCTGTGAGCGGTGCTGTGCCTGAGCCACGCGGCCTGGCCCCTGAGGGGTGGCGGCCGCCGTCCCCAGGCTGAGGTCTGCCGCGCGGCCGGGGAAACGTGTGGCGAAGGAGGACCCAGGGGGGCGTGCAGGCGGGGGCCCCTCGGCCCTCACGTCCTCCTGGATCTGAGGGTCTCGGAGTAGCCCCGGCCGCCGCCCGCCGGCCCTGCCTGTGCAGCTGCCGCTGTCTGGTCTGGGGGCTGCGCCCCGGCCACGGGGCTCCGGGCGGCCGCGCGTCCGAGCGGGGCCGTCTGGTACAGGGCCTGGCTCTGTGCGGGAGGTGCCGTGCTTCCCCAGCGAGCACAGAGGACGCGGTGGGCCCGGCAGAGCCCCGGGCAGACGCGCCGTGGGCCCCTCGTGGGTGCCGGGCCTCCGCGGTCGTCCTCGGCGTCCCTGCGCCTCGCAGGCCTGGTGTCCTTCCATCGGCCTCGGGATTTTCCTGGGTTTTCTTTTTTGTTTTTGTTTAAGTTTTACGACTTCGCCTGGCAGCCAGCAGGTCTCATCACGTTCACGGGCGGTAGTGCTTGCGCAGCGGTGGCAGGCGTGCGGGCCTTCCTGGCTCCTTGGCCCCAACCGCACTGCACAGCCGGGTGTGGTTGCACCCACCCGGCGCCCCCAGCTCCACGGGGCCTTGGGAGCGCGGCCAGCGGCCGCAGCCATGCCCTCGGGCGACAGGCCGCCCCCCCCCAGCACCCTTCTCCGCGGGAGCCGTCCCGAGGGCCCCGGCCGGGCGGGTAGGCCCGGCCACTGCTTTGGCTGAGGAAGGAGGCGGCGGCCTGGGCACGCGGGGCACTTTGGGGGGGGTCACACAGCCTCCATGTGCGCCCAGCCGCGCTGCTTCCTGGCCCGTCCTGTCGCTGCTGACGTCTCTGCAAAGCAGCCGAGACCCGAGGCAGGCGGAGTGGTTTCAGACTCGCTGCCTTTTCCCATTTTTATTAGAAAATACTTCACACTGACGAGAGAGCGTGGGTCTGACGGGGAAACAGGAACAAGTGCAGGCAACGCCTCACGGCCCACGAGGCTGCCCGGCTGCGGCCCGTCGCCGCCGGGTCTCAGGATGCTCACGCTCACACGCGTGTGCACATGCTCATGTGCGCACACACAGGGACGGCCCCTCTTCTCAGCGCTCCCCTTCCTGTCCCCGTGGTGACAGAAGATGGACACATCTCTGCCCGGGGCCTGGCTGTGGTCACCGCTGGGGGCCTGGCTGCCACACTGGCCGCACCTGAGCCCATGCAGCCTCGTGAGGGGACCCTCAGCTCCTGGGCCGCCCTCACGTGCTTCCCCTGGCTCATCAGCAGAGCCTGCGTTCACACTTGACCGGCCCCACAGTTCCCGGGTGCCTCCGCGGCGGCACGGTGGTCCTGACCGCTCAGGGCCCTGGCGTGCAGACAGGGATGCGAGAGCTACGGTGGCCTGGGAGTCAGCTGGGCCGCCGTCAACCACAGCACGGGCGGCCTTGATCTGCTCCCCTGTGGGCGGGAGTCTGTGGGCTCCGCCTTCGCAGCCACGGCCACGCCCGGGGCCCTCATGTCTCAGGCACTGGGACTGCCAGGCGCCTTCTGGCGGCGGCCGTGAGCCAGCCGAGGGGACGCTCGGCGCTGACGTGCCCTCTCGCGTGCCCCCAGCTGGAGAAGAAGCAGGCGCTGCCGCCCTTCCAGCCGCAGATCACCGATGACTACGGCCTGGACAACTTCGACACGCAGTTCACCAGCGAGCCCGTGCAGCTGACCCCTGATGACGAGTAAGCCCCGGGCGAGGCAGGGGCGGCGCTGGACGCCTGTCCTGAGGGGGCGGGGGGGCAGGAGGGCAGCCCTGGAGCCGCGCCGCCTGCCCGTGCCGCCTGCCTGTGCCGCAGGGACGCCCTGAAGAGGATCGACCAGTCGGAGTTCGCGGGGTTCGAGTACATCAACCCGCTGCTGCTGTCCACCGAGGAGGCCGTGTGAGGCAGCCCGCGCCACGGCCACGCCTGTGCACGCCCGCCCTCCTTCCCCACAGCGCACGCGTGCCGGCGGGGGCGCCGCTGCCGCTGGGGCCACGCCCGGACGGCCGGGCGCCTCGGGACAGGACAGCCTCCCGGCCGCCCACAAGGCAGCTTCGTGCCGGAGGACTCTGCTCCTTGTGCCTGCGTCGCGGAGGCCCCACGGCGGCCACGTCCGAGGGAGACACGGTCCCACGATTCCGAAGGTGCACACTTTCCACAGACACAGAACTGACCCGCTCCACCGGGAGACTTACCTGTAATGTCCTGGGAATAAAACGTGCCGATGGTGTAGACGCGCCCGTGCTGGCTTTTTTCTGCGGCGCCGCTGGCGCTGCGGCTGAGGAGCGCGGCGCGTGCGCAGGTGGGCTGGGGACGGGAGTCTAAGTGCCTGCGATGAAGAGTCTGTACAGACGCGGGACGTTTTCTAAATCCTGGTAAGTTCCTGTTGTTAATATTTAACACGTGTTTCCATACTGAGCGTGGATGCGGCCGTGGAGTCCGACGCCCCCCGCCCCCCTCGAACGGCACCGCGTCCCCGCCAGTGCACTGGCCGCGGATGCGGAAAATTGGGGTAGAGATTCTCACACGTCGCTCAGCAAAGCACCAGGAGATCAGAAAAGAAAAAGAAAAAATTGAAAACTCCATTTGCTCAAAATACATGTCTGAAAACAGCAAGCACGCCTGCCTGTCTTGTCTCCGGGAGCCGGTCTGGGGGAGTTTCCGTCGGCCACGGCGGCGCTCAGAATTAGAAAAACGTAAGATGTGTGCGCGGTGGGCCCGGGCTGAACAGCAGAGCCACGCCCACAGCGCCCACAGACGCTGTGCGTCCCTGACACCGCCTGCTGGTGACAGCCCGAGAGGGGCGCGTGTCGCTGGGCCACCCCCTTAGGGAAAGGGGACAGCTCCAAACACCAAAATGAAGGACTCCTAGGAGGTCAAGCACCTGAGCCTTCAGGTCCCTGACCCGTTCGCTGGGGCGTGAGCCCGGTGAGGGCTCCGCAGACACGGGCCCCGGCCGCCCCCCTGCCCGGCAGCCACGTCCTGAGCCTCCGAGGCGTGCAGGGCCTGTCCCCTCCCCTGTGGCTTGCGGTGGGGGCAGGTTACGATGAGAACAGCGAAAGGAAGGAAGCCATTGCCGTGGGGTGCGCGCCCCCCCCACGCCCGGCTCTCCGGCCCTGTCCTCGTCGTCCCTGCCCCCCGCCCCCGGGGACAGAGCAGAGAGACACCTGTCATCCGGGCCCAGGTGCCACCGGGAAGAGCTGCCCCCGGACCAGGGAGCACGGGCGTCTGAGAGCCGCCAGCAGGGTGTCCGGCAGCAGCAGGGCCTGATGTGATGCCACCCGGGCAGGGAGGAGCGCCCTGCGCCCTGGCGGGAGGTCTGCTGCGCGTGTGCAGAGCGTGTGCGTGACGCTGCGCTCACGGTGGGTGACGGCAGCTCTGCACGGAGCCGTTGGTCTTGGTGAGCGGACAAGGCGGAGGATGAGTTGGCCCGAGTTTGCAATCGGCGGCGTGACGTCTGCCGGCAGCTCGTCCCCAGCAGCGTCGCCGGGGGCCCCTCCGCGATGAGGCGCTCACCGGCCCGGCCGGGGCAGCTCTGCGCCAGCCCCGCGGTGAAAGGCCTTCGTGGCAACGCTCACGGCTGCATTCTCTAAGCAGGGGCGTTTCAGGGAACAGAGGTTTTTGAAGCCATTTTTAAAAAGCATTTTATTGACAGAGCGGTTTCATATTCACAGCAAAATTGAGGGGCAGCCACAGGGATTTCCGGTGTGTTCCCAGCCAGGCCCAGCGGACCCCACTGTCCACGTCCCCAAAGCCGGTGTGCATGTCACCACGGGCACGCCACCTTCACCCAGCAACCCCGGGTTACATCGTCGTGGTGCCCGCCCCAGGGGCCTGGACAAGGTGTCCGATGACATGTGTCGGCCATGACAGATGACACAGGCGTCTCTGTGCCCGAGCATCGGCTCCACCTGTCCCCGCTGCCAACCCTTCCACTGGCGCCACGGTTTGGTCTTCCCCGGAATCTCGCGGTGCCGGTCGCACAGGACGCGGCCTTTTCAGGCTGGCGTCTTTCCTGTAGGAACTCGCATTCAAGTTCCCGCCCCGCGTTTTCACGGCTGACGTGGGGCCACCGTTGAGATGAAACAGACGCCTGCAAGTTCACCCACAGCTTCGCATTGGACGCCCGCCTGCCGCCGGTGCTCCGCGGCCGCCGTGGGGGCGGCAGGGAGGAGGGCGTCAGGCCTAAGCGGGCACGGAGCCCGGCTCTTCCCGAACCGGGCAGACCCGGGGAGCCAGCCCGGCCCCCTGCCCCCGGACGGCGCTGGGCGGTGTCCGTCCTTAGGTTCTGGTCGCGGGGAAGCGGCCCCGACTCGCCGGCCGGTCTTCCTTCCCTCTGGGGCTGGCGGCAGTGGCAGCTGCAGGAGGGACGCGCACACCCAGGTCCTGGGACGCGGCGACCACCTGGGTGCGGGGCCCGGTCCAGCTGCTGCGGGTGTCCGCACGCCGGCCCGAGTCCGTCTGCGCGGGGTCAGTCGCCGTGCCGACAGCAGCAGGTCACTGCCGAGCCGAGGCCGCGGCCCCAGCAGACTGGCTACGGCACGAGCAGGCCGGCGGCTTCGACACCCGCACGCATGGCGTGCAGGGCTGTGGTCCGGACACGGCCGCCGCAGGCCGCTCACCACACCACATCGTCCGCGCTGCCCGCCAGGCACTGTGCGAGGTGGCTGTCGATGTCTAGCTGGGTCAGCCTGTGAGGAAGAGGGGAGACGGTCACTCACAGGAGGGACACGCCACCACACAGAAGGGCTCCTGGCCGGAGAAGCCCCGCCGATGGCCTCCGGGGCCGGGCAGAAACGAGCGCAGGTCTGGGAGGAGCCGCCGCACCAACAGGAGGCCCCCGGGGCCCGCTCTCGGGCCAGAGGCTCTGCATGTGCCTGACAGGGACACCGGGAGGCCAAGCGGGCACGTGCTCTCAGGCTCCTGGGCCCACAGCCTGGAACACCCTGGTCCGAGCGAGCCCCCGGGGCCTGGGCCCATTCGGCTCCACAATGTCGGGCTCCTGGGTACAGCTCAAAGCCGAGCCCGAGCACCAGTCTGCGACAGCTTCCCCCGCAAGCCGCCCCCACGGCGTGGCGGGGAGACGCCAGGAGTCCAGCAGACGCCCTCCCTGTCCACAGGGACCTCCCAGACAAGGCGCTTCCAGGGCCACGATGACCAACTGGCCAGAACGGAGAGGCCCATCCCTGGAGCTGGAGCCGTTGACCTGAACCAACGAGCCTCTTCACTGCCAAGAGCGGGCCCAGCGCCACCAGGGAGCCAACACGGGGCCCCCACAGCACCTCTTCCGCAGCCAGTGCCTGCCGCTCTCCGGGCCCAGGCTGCGGCTGGGGCCACGCAGCCTGTCCTCCGAGCCAGCGCCCCCACGGCTGCCTCCGAGGCCTAGCTTGGGCTGCCATGTCCAGAGGCTTCCAGGCAGGGTCCCTTGGCGGGGCAGCCCGGGATGCCTCAGACCTCCCCGCAGCGGCAGGACTCGGCCCTGGCACGGCCCGTCCTTGGCGTGCGTCACGATGCCTGTGAGCTGCCTCTGACGCCCAGTGCCCGGGCATAAACAGCCGGCACAGCCAGGGGGGCAGGGGGGCACTCAGGCAGCTGCACCAGCGGCTCGTGAGCGAGAACAGGGCCAGAGCCCCAGGGCCCGCAGCCCGAGGGACCTCAAGCGGCTCAGGTCCCCACGTGGGGAGACCCACAACGTGGGTTCTGCCGCCAACTGGGCCATGGGAACCGCCTGCCCGCCTGCCCAAGTGACTCACGGGCATCAGAAGCTCACAAAATACCTGAATTCGGCAGCGAGGGGACCCTAAAGGGGCGGCACTTTACACACGGCTTGTCAGGTCCCTCGTATCAAAGAACAGAGATCTTCTGAGCAGCCCAGAAAACACTGAGGTGCAAAGGAAACCGGACGAGCTGGTCCCACTGGGCCAGGTGCCTCGCTCGGCCGGGGGTGGGGGGTGGGGGGCGGGCACAGCTCCAAGGCACTCCCGGCGTTTGCCTGGGACCAGTTCTGACAGGCAGCTCCCGTGTCCAAGCGCCACCCGACTCTCCTGCGCCCGCCTGTCTCCTGGGCCCAGGGCCTCCCCTCGCGGCAGCGTGGGGGCCTGGTTCCCCAGACGGGGCTCCTGCGGTCTCCCCAGGGGCAGCTGCAGCCTCGGGGGGTGTGCCGGTCCCAGCTCGCTCGCCCTCCTTTACAGTCCGACGACAGGACGAGCTAGAAACCTTCCAGACACGCGGCAGCCTGGCCCCGACGGGACCTCTCCTCCCTCTCGTCCATCTTTTTTCAGACGGGTCCAAACACAAAGGCCCCCAGGAAGGGCAGCTGCCGAGGAGAGGAGTGGCCCCGCAGCCTCTCGAGCGCGCCTGCTGCCCCGGGCCTCTGACGGCCGTGAGCCAGAACTTCACTCTGCGGCGCTCAGGGGGCCCGCGAGTCTGTACGGCGGCTCATGGCGACCAGACGCACCGGTCTGGACACGAGGCCGGAGCAGGGAGACACCGAGTCTGGGAGTGCCCTGCGGATGCTCCCGACCAGCGGGGCCTGGGCCAGCGGGGGCCTCACCGGCACGCAGACCCCCTGTGGACGGCCGCCGCCTCCCCACACCAGCCGGCGCCCGCTGGGCAGGCGCCACCAGCACCGTCGGCCTGATAGCCGCGACCCTGCCTGTCGACAGGGCCTCGTCTCTGAACGAGACGCCGTGTCTGCAGAGCTGCCTGTGCAGGTTTTGTTCTGCGCGTCTGGGTCGCTGGCTGCTGATCCGGAACCCACGCCCGCCCCGCTCCGGCGCTGCTGCTCCTGCAACCCCTGGACAGGCTCACGAGCGCACACGGCTGCTGGCCCGGGAGCCGTGGGGCAGGTCCGGGTCCAAAGCCTGCCGAGCGTTCACCGCACCGGCACCAAGGCCCCCCAGGGTCCTCCCCGCCATCCCGGCCCCGTGAGCCCCGATCTGTGTCCCTGGCTGGTGGCGCCCAGGCGTACAGTTATATGCTGGATTTTTAAAAATAGAAAAAACACCTGTCTTGTAGCCACAAGTCTTCAATTTGAAAACCTCCAGCCCACCCTGGGAAGGCCCTGGTGGGACTAAACAGGGGCCTCCCGGTGACCCGCAGCCTGGCCCTGACCCTGGAGGTGGCCTCAGCCCCCCAGGCCCGGCATCAGAGCAACTGGGCCAGGGCAGAGGCGGCTTGCCCACCTCCTGCTGTAGAGCCTGTGGGCTGTGGCCAGAAAGCCGCCTGCAGGGGCCCTGGGCCGGTGGGCCAGCCAGCAGGTGGACCCCCAACCCACAGGCCTGTGCCCTCCCGCTAACCTCCGAGGTCACCACCTCTGCCCACTCCATATGCATGCAGTGACCCCGAAAGGCCAAAGCCGCGCTCAGGCTCCTCTCAGGCTTCCACAACTGGCAGCGTCTCTGCGCGGCAGCAAGGGGAGCGACCCGGGGCAGGTGCACTCACCCGGGGGCGAAGTCGGCCTGGCACATGGGGCAGCTCTGCAGGGTCTGCGGCCTGTCTACCGCCGGCTGCTCCGGGGCGCCGGGGACCCCACGAGGCTGGGGCGCGGCGCATCCTTGCGGGGACCGGGCGGCGGAACCTGGCCGCCCGCCGGCCCTGCGGAGCACCCGGTAGGAGCGGCCGAGGCCCTCCCCGCCCCTGGGGGCGGGAGGGAAGGGCGTCCAGGAGAAGGTCTCGGATCCCACGGTGAAGAGCTCAGGAGACGCAACGCGCTCGGGGTCGCGCCTGGGCTCCTGGGACAAGGGAGGTCGGACGGGGTCAGCGGAGCCTGGGCCCGAAGGCCCCCAGACCCCCCGCCGCCCCGGCGCGCGCCTGGCCACCCACCTGGCCCGGGAAAGCGGGCAGCGGCGGCGACGCCCCGTCCTCGTCCAGGTCCGCCCTCACCGCGCGCAGCAGCTCAGCCCACAGCCGTGCGCGCTCGCCGTCGCCGTCGCCGTCCTGAAGGGACCCCGGACGGGGGCTCGGGGGCCTGGGGCGGTGGGGGGGACATCAGCCGGGGAAGACGCGCGGGGAAGCAGTCGGCGCCGGGGAGGGGGCACCTGCCGCGGGGGGGCGGGGGGCAGGACCGGAGGAGGAGGAATACGGGGAAGGCAGCGGGGCGGGGCCCAGCCGGAAGCGCGCGGGGAGGGGCGCCGGCCACAGCTCGCCCGGGGGCACCACGCCGCCCTCCCCTGCCGTCTCCCGCGCCCCAGGTCCCGGCCTCACCCGCCCATGGGGGGCGGCCTCCGACGGCTTAGCCGAAGCCGGGGTCTCCGCGCTGCCTCCATCCGCCCCGAGCCCGCGCGTCCGGCGGAAGTGAGCGACCAGCGGCCGAGACCCCGCCCCCGGGGGCATTGGCCCCGCCCCCGACTCAGGCCCCGCCCGGACCCCACGGGCGCGCGCGAGGACCCCCACCCCCACACCGACCCCGACCCCGCCCCCGACCCCGACCGCAGCCGGAGCCCAGCTGACCCCTGCGCGCGGCATCCTGTCCCCCGGGGACCCCACGGCCGGCCCTCAGGCCCGGAGGGAGCCTCCGCGTTGCGAGGCCCTCAGCGCAGAAGGTGCCCTGACTCGAGTCCCTGGGGGACCGAGGCCGGGATCCCTTCCTCCTCCTCCACCGAGGAGCCATTTTCCAGCGGACAGGGCGGGGGCCCTGCCGCCGCGGCCGCCGCCGCCGCCGGCCCGGGGTCTGCAGAGGCCTCGGAGGAGGTCCCGCCGGGCCCTGGCCCGGGCACCCCACTTAGCGCCCATCGGCGCCGGCCCCAACGCCCGGCTGGCACAGCCCGAGCCTCGCCGCCGCCGCTCGGCAGGCCCCGCTGGCCTTCCTTCCCAGGACCGTCACCGTGTCCCTACAAAAGGGCATAACTCGGTTTCCTCAACAGAGGAAAACAGAAAGGAGGCGACAAAGTCCGGTGCCCAGCCCGGGGCCGGGGCCGGGGCGGCGCGGGAGGTGCAGGGCCCGCGAGGGGCTTCCCCGATTCCCGCCCGCGCGGCTCCCAGCGGCCACTGGGTGGCAGCAGAGGCCCGGGCACCCCCTGCGGCCCCGGACCTTGTTGCTGGGCACTGTCCGGCGAGCCCCGGGGTGGCCCGGGGGTGGCTCCACCGGGCGGTGGTGGAGGGCAGGCGGCGGGTGTCAGGCAGCCGCTCTCGGTGGACACAAGCAGATGTCGCTGGGGCGCCGCCGTTTCTGCTGTCCCCAGCCCAGCTTGGGGGCTCTGCTCTGCACCCTACTTCTGAAGGGACGCTGCCCGGCCTCCTTACCTCAGCCCCCTCCACGTCACATTCCCGCCCGCTCCAAGCCCCAAGTCTGGGCACCTCCAGCCCAGGACCCCCGTCTCTGAGTGCAGGCGACGCAGGCCGGCTGCCGCCCAGCTGCCTGAGCCCACTGCAGGGCGGGGGCGGGGTGCTCGCCCATCCGCCCCTGCCAGGGGCCGATCTCGCTGCTGCAGACCCCAGGGCCAGGGCCCCCACTCCAGGGCTGTCCCCGCAGGACGACAGCCCCCACCCCCATGCGAGAACCAGCGCGGCTGCTGCAGCAGCGGCTCCCGGCCCCCTGAGGCGGCTCGTGTGCCTGGCCGGCGCCCAGGTGTGGGGGCTCCCAGCCCGGGCACACGGCAGGTGCCAGCCGACGGAGGACGCCCAGACAGCTGTGCCTGGGGTTCCCTGACCAGGTCCTGGCTGCCCCTGGCTTCAGAGTCTCTCCTGGAAGTGTCGCCGCGCTTCTGCAAGCCAGCGTGGGGCCTTCCTTCCGGGGGGGTGGCACCAGGCCTCCGACGGCCAGTGTGTGCCCGGCTCTCGGGCCATGCTGGGGAGCCGTGGGCACAGCTGAGGGAGGAGCCGCTGCCTGGAACGGGGCGCCAGGGTCCTCAGCGTCCCAGCCCCTCCAGGCCACTCCCGCCCCTCCGGGCCCCTTTCTCTATAGACGCCCCCCATGGCCCAAACCCCGAAAGACACGAGAGGCCTCAGAGAGACCCAGGACGCTGGCCTGGTGGGAGGGCAGGTGCCCCAGGAGGGGCCTGGATAAAGCCTTTGGCGCAGAAGGGGGCCACCCGACCTCTGGCCTTAGCCACCCCAAAGGGCCTCGTTTCCCTTGGCTACCGGGGAGAGGACTCCGGCCCCAGGCCCGGACTGTGTCAGCAGGCGGGACAGAGGCCCCGGGAGCCTGGCACTTTGCGGAGGGCAGGCCAGAGCAGCGTGTAGGTCACCGGGGCTCCTCTCTGGTTTCGTCCGGCTGCCGGGGACCGGCATCTCCGTCAGCACACAGACCTGCCGCCTGGGAGGAACCTTTCCTCCCAGAGTAGAGCTGGGCCACCCTGAGCAGGGCGCAGCAGGTGCCAGAGCGCGCCAGGAAGCCCCCGTCCCCCAGCCCCGCCCCTGCTTTCCGACAGCTGCCGCCCCCGCCCCAGGCCTCCCGGCGACCTCCAGGAGGGGGGCCCTGCAGCCCCGCCTCACCCCCGCTGTCCCGCTGCCATCAGCGAGCTGCGGGGGCCCTGGTGGGGCTGGGGGGGGGGGCTTGAAGCGTTGAACTTAGTGAACAGGCTCCTGTTTTCTGAGACGTTTGCCGCTGGGACCGACGGCGGAGCTTTCCTGGAAAGTAATTTCTGATCGGGCCCGGGGCTGGCACCACGGAAACAAGTTTGTACAAGACAAAATCCATGTTTACCCAGAAGGCTTCAGCGCTTTGCAGGGGCCCCTCCCCCCAGGCAGAGTTTGAGGGGCAGAAGTGTCAGGCCCCAGGCTGCGTACAGCGGCAGGTGAAGAGCCAGCTCGGCGCCCCCTCCGAGGCACCCGGTGCGCATGGCGCGTGCAGCCGGCCTGCCAGGGCCCCTCCTGGCACCTTCCCCTGAGAGGGGACAGGTGTGAGTGCTCTCCTGGCTCCTGGGGCCAGTGGGGGACAGGTTTGCCTCACGCAGCAGGGCCTGGTCCAGAGCTGGCGGGGGTGGGGTGGTCCAGGCCCCGCTTTGCTTCCCCACACACTTCTTTGACTTTGGGGGGATCACTTCTGCCATCCGGCGGGGTTACAACAGCTTAGGTAGCAGGACCAGCCCCTTCCAGTTCCCAAGGGAAACCCCAGCAGGCGCACGCCGTCAGCTCAGAGACGGCGGGCGGCGCGGCACCCGCTCAGGGCGCCCTGCCTATGCCCGACTGCGGGGCAAGGACGGCCCCGGGGGCTGGGCCCCCTAAGGCTCTGCCGCACCCGCCTGCCTGCGTGTGCCCCGCGGGCGAGCCCGCAGCTGCAACCCCAGGGGCCCGAGAGTCAAGGGGCAGCTGGGAGGGGGCAGGCGAGAGAGACAGCAGCCTCGCCTCCAAGGCCCCACCCCCGCCGCCACCTGCCTCCGGAACAGCCACCCTCTCCCAGCGTTCACGGCGAGGCCCCCGACCCCCCACTGCCCCCTCGGTGTTGCCCTCCCTCCCTCAGCCACGCGGTCCTTCTCTGTCCCCAGCTCAGGCTGCTGCCCTCGCTGGTCTCCTCCCCCAAGGGGGCAGCTCCTGATGGCCCTGGGGCTCTGCTCTGGCAACGCCCCCCACCCCCGGCGGGAAGCCTCCTCTCCAGCCCCCCCACCAGGGTTTCCTGCCCGTAAGTGGGGATCTGGGCCGGGAGCTGCCTGGCTTCCCGGGAGGGCAAGCCTGCACTCCGCCCCCCACAGTGACCCCCAGCCTCAGGGGGCCAGCCCACCAATCCCGAGTGAGAGGGAGGCCACTGCTGCAGGTGGTGCCCTGAAGGAACGTAAGTCCCCCAGATCCCCGTCCACTGGGAGCCCTGAAAGCGACCTCCCTCAGGAACGCGGTTGTTGCAGGTAGAATCCCGTTACGCTGAGGCTGCGCCCGGCCAGGCAGGGGCCAGGCCCAGTCAGCCGGGGCCCTCGTCAGGAGAGGGAAGCCAGACACGGGCAGAGGCCAGGGCGCCGGGGCCACCAGCCCAGGGACACCTGGGGCCACCAGACGCCGGAAGAGGCAGGGAGGAGCCTCCCCAAGACCCTTGGAGGGAGCCTGGCCCTGTGGCACCTTGAGTTTGCGCCCCGGGCCCCCGCCCGCCGCCTCGTGTGCAGCGGCCGCGGCCACGGGACATCACGGGCTCTGGGGCCTCTCCAAGACCCTGTGCGGCCGGTGTGCGGGCACGTAGGCTCCAGAACCCGCTTCCCCGGCCCCCGCGTCCTGTGGACCAGCCCGCAGCGCAGGAGGGGCTGAGAGGGGGCCCCCCCAGCAAGTGTGAGCTCAGCCGCACGCCCAGTGTCTCCTGGGTGGGGGGGACCCCCACGTCTCAGCCCAGGGGAGCAGCTTCGCCCCATCTGCGTGGCCGGGCCTCCCTGCCCTGAGTCGGCTCTGCCCCTGCACCCTCTCGGCCCGACTCCGGCCGCCGTGTGCCCCAGGTCAAGGAGGGATGTCTGATGGGGAAAGCTCTGTCTCCTGCCCTGGGGGCCTCCTCAGTGCGGGGCGGGGGGACTGTCCTTGTCCTGGGGGCACCTGGTGGCTCCTGCAGGGACCCACAGGCAGGGTGCTCACCAAGGAGCCCCTGGGCCTCAGCGGTGGCCGCCCCTCCCCCCGCCCCTTCCCTTCCCCTCTGCCCCTCCGCCGCCCCCCCCACCCCATCCCAGGGCCCACGCTCCCAGGTTAGGTCGCCTGCCTATCCTGTGTCATTTCTGTCCAGTTTTATGGGGAAATGGCTGGCACCCGTTGCTGCCTGAGGCGCATGTGTCCGAGTCACACAGCAGGGTGTCCAGCCAGCGGCCCACAGCCACGGGCAGCCCCGGGTGGCTGTGACCGTGGCCCAACACAAAATCGTAAATTCACCTGAAGCGTTGTTAGCCGCTGCTGCGATGGCGTGTAGCCATGCACTGATGCCTGGCCGAGGCCCCGCCTTCCCACGTGGCGCGGGGACCCCGAAAGGCCGGACGCCCCGTGGGAGGTTTTAGCTACCGCGGCTCCCCGTAGAGATTCGCTAAAATGAAAAGCTTTCTCCTGCCCTGGCCGGTGCGGCTCGGGCAGGCGGAGCGTTGCCCCGTAAACCGCGAGGCCGCGGGGCAGGTCACGCGCCTGGGCGGCCCTGCTTCCCACACCGGCGTTTCACCCTCTCCCCCACCCCCCCACCCCCGCCTTTCTCTCCGTCCACAATCAATGAACGTGTCCTCGGGCGAGGAATAAAAGAAAAGTTTTCTCGTTATATTGAGAACTCTTCGGATCTGCCTCCGAACCGCCCTGGGTCCTCGGGGAGCCCTGGGCCACCGGGGGTCACGGGGCCATCAGCCTGTGACGTGCGAGGGACTCCAGTCCCAGGGAGGGTCTCTGTCGCCCCTT